CAATTTTGAGGCACCAATATGGGGCACTTGGAGTGGGGAGATTATGCAACATCTAGTGTTTATCGCGCAGGCCTGGTCATTGACAGGCAGATCTCGAAGATGACCAGCGATGACGGCATACAGACCGATTTTCTCAGGACCGGAGACCTCAGAACTGCCATTGTTTTTTGAGGCGAACTAGTTTGAGGGGTAAAATAGCGGGCTCACCCATGATCAACGTTGAAGGATGCCTAAATTCGGATTGAAGGGAGAATGAGCAGTGCAGGTCCTAGTTATGCCTGGTATTGAGCTCTCTGAATTGGAGGGCAGGCGTTTTCCGAATTCAATGCGCTCAGGTTGTTTCGAGGATTCAAGTGCCACCCCAAACCGAGTGCCGTGTTTTGGGACACGCAAGCGCAACCCGGTGTGTAAGCGGCGTCCAGAATTGTGACAATTTATTTCGATGACGGCCTGGGAAAGTTTGGTTGCACGCCCCAAACATGAAGCTTCCTTTCAGAGAGGTCTTGGTTCTTTTCGCAGTCATTGAGCTGGGCAGAAGCCAGACGGTGTTTTCAGAGCCCCCCAAATGGGTGGATTCCTTTTGGGTTCCCTGGAAACCGAACTCAATAAGGGTATTATCGGGTACCCTCAAACAGCCATATTCCCAAGTTATCTCTTTGGCTTGGCCCCGTGTGTCGTTTGTACCGGTGGACCTCGCACTCGCTGAGCATGAAGCGCTGCAACAGGAAACCCATGGCCAAACCTTCGGGCTTCATTTGGCTGGTGAAGAGAGTCGGTACCCGTTTTGGGAAGTGGAAAAGACAACCTGCGGTGTAGATCCTGGTGGTTTAATTTTGACCCATAGCCATTTCTCTTCGGATCACCGGGATCTCGCGGGTCGACCGGTCGAGCTTGTGCCATTTGGAGGGGCAGCCGAGCTTTGGCGCCCAAGAACAAGCGGAGCCACTCCTTCCACGTGAACCGGGAGGCGCGAACGCCGAACGCGCTGCCTGGGTCCGACCTGATTCCGTGTTTTTTGTTGTTCCTTCAAATCAACTGAGCTAAGTCCCTTTCTTTCAATGCAGGCAAGATGGGGCAGGTCCCTGTTCTTTGAAAGCTCAGGTGTTCAAAGTACATCGTCATTTCGTATGCCAAATGGTAGTGTTCTCTTCTTGTGGCTTCCCACTACGGAATTCGGATTAGGGGTGTTGCTTATTTCAAAAGAGCTACCAATAGAATCAGGGTTCTAGTTCTGCGTATCATTGGCTCGGCCCATAGCATGGGCTCAGTCAGCTGTTTGATTGGTGGGTTGGTCCGTCGTCAGCCGGGTTAGGGGCCAGGGGGCAACATCCCCATGCCGGTTCGGCACCGGAAGCAGGCAGCAGTCTCATGTTGCTGGGCACTGGCACTGCTGACACTGCCCATGTGCGACCAGTTGAGTTTCTTGGGGCTAGAGCCGGGTCTGATTGAAGCGGTCAGGATGCCGCAGGATTGCTGTCGGGGTGTCTCGCCTATCGGTTTGAATCAACGCTCGAAACCGGACCACAGCCACCCAAGTGATGACAAGCCGGCGACTTTTCGCCCTGATGGACTACAAGTGACCACTCCAGCTCCAAGCAACCTCGCTGGCCGCAATTCGTGCCATGCATGGAACTCATGCCCGCTTGCTGTGACAGACCTGCAAACGGATCTGGGTGATGCTGGGGATGTTGCTCCCCTGCGGCACCTCTGCCGGCCAACGACATTCAGATTTTAGCGTGTTGACTACTCGGCTGTGCAAAAAGGCCAGGCCTACGCAACAAAACACCTCCGACAAGCCACCAACTGTGGCCTTGCTTCTCCATGCACCGGCAATGTGCAATCGCACCTGTTTTCTCTCCTCTAGCTTTGAAAATTTAGCTTGGAAAGTCAGTCAAGCTTGGATGACTTAACACATCTGCTGGTGTGCTGTTTGACAACAAACATTTTTTTCGGAGTGAACCTCCAAATAGTTCGGGGATGTTTCAGGATGTAGCTGGTCCTCTCCAGGTCTCGACGGATCTGTATCCGACTCGTGCCAAAAGCGAAAATGTTTGGTTGGGCTCGGCGGGTGATTCTCAACTCAGATGGGTTTGGCTAGTTGGGTTCCCTGCTAAGTCGTCGTGGTGTGTTGTGCTTTTCTTTGAAGCCACCAAGGGGTTTTGGCCATGGGACACCGAGCTAGATACTCGCCATCCAATCAACGTGCATGAAAGGCCCTTGCTCGTGACGGCAGACTTGCCACATGCTGTCAGCGTCAAGCATTCCGCCTCGTCGACCTTTCCGAGTGGTGGGGGGGGGGGAATGAGGCCCATCATAGAATGCCATGCCTAGAACATCGCCATGGTTCCCCTGCCCTCAAGGCTGGTTCTCTTTCAGGGTGGTTTGGAGTGCCATGATGGCTCCTGTTGAGGTTTTGAGGTCAGAAGTTAGAGGTCCAACCACACCCGAGCTGTTGAAGGGATGTCAGGTTCCATGTGTGAGTAGGCGAGGGAGGGACCGCGTTGTTGCAGAGAGTGCGCCAATGGATTTCTTTGGGCCGAAAGGTCTCGGATGACGACATGAAGTCAGAGCTTCTCGTGCAGAGTCACATGACGGCTCCGGCGTGCAAGACACCACTGCACGAGGCCAGGGGTAGCCCGTTCTAAAGAATTCATGTTCTTGTACTTGTAAGCTTGTTCCACAGGAACGTGGATGAACTAAATACTTTATTCTAGCTCCCGCATTTGCTGATGCGACAGCCTGTTGAAAGTCTGTTTGTTTAAGCCGCAATGAGGATGGACCAAGTTTGTGCATTGTTGGCTAGGTATCAGCCATGGGAGGCATACAGCAAGCAGCGATGTCTTTAAGTAGCGACGTTGCACTCGATAGTTGTGTATTGTAACTTGTAACCCATATTACCGCATGGTGCAGATTCAAGACCACTAACAGTCATCCCTCCTTGCTCTGAACCGATTGGAAGGTGGTTTGTCGTGTGTCTTCACCCTATCAAACCTTTCCCTCCGCTTTTCAAATTGGATCTTACCAAATTGTGCCAGAGGTTCAGATGGCGTCACACTCAGATCGTCATACATCAGAGAGGTGTTACGCTCCTTCAGAAAATGTTAACAACATGGTAGCAGAGATGAGATCTAACTCCCTGAGTTTCCTTTTAGTGGGAGACAAACAGTTTACACTCAGGAAGTGAGTCACTGTCACTCACGGTCTCGTGTGTTTGAAGGCCTGCGGGCTATACTGTCTCATCGACGAAATCCTGCCAAGGCTTCTCTCGTTCGAATACAGCGGCCGCCCCTTAACTAGCATCCAATGATATCACGTCGCCATTTCTGGAATGGGGAAAGTGTTTTTCCAACTAGCCAGCAACGGTAGAAGGTTTCTAGAACATCCTGTCAGTGCTCGCTTGCGGCGAAGGGGTTGGGAAATTTTAGTGTATCCGGGATCTGGAGAAGTCATTGGAAAGCCTATTGGTACACAAGTGGTTTGGGTGAATGGTGAAAGAAATGCAGTGACACGCTGCGACAGGGAAATGTAGCTTGAATTTTCATCGGGAGGTGCTCAACATAAACAGCGTTTGGGAATCTTGGAATCTTGGTGAGGTATTGTGCCGCCTCTCGGGGGAAGGGGGGGCATGAAAGGTGTCCATACATGTTTGACACCCCCTATGTGTGTGTGTCCGCAGCTGGGAAGAAAGCCTCCGATTTGAATCGAGACACTGCGATTTCCGCAGGCGCAGACGGTGAGGGCTATTGTGGAAGAGGAGCCAAAGGAGCCGATGGTCAAGGTGAGACAGGCAAAATGGGATTCTTTTTTGAGAGAACCCTTTTCAAGTTGGTTTCAGGGGAAGCCAAAAGGGCAACCAGCCTTTTTAATTTGCCCCTATTGTGGCACATCCCGTAATACTACCCATTGTTTGATGTTTCAGTTGAACAACATGGCTCAGTGTGCAGAACAAATCCATCCATAATGAACCTGTGGTTAACAAGCGACGACTCCATAGATCCACAGAACCAGCAAGAACACAGCCCGGAGGTTTCTGAGGCTGAGAGTGTCACTCAACATTGACTCCAGGGCTCCTTAAAAGATACATTTTGCCCATTTGAAACATGGCTTTTTCCACCAAAATAAAGGGAAACCTCCATTTACAAGGCAATGTTCAGGTGTATAATGTAAGGATCGCTGACGGACCAAACCTCGTTCTGGACGAAAGGACCTCAGGCTCACAGGCGCTTGCTTGTTTTGAAGACCAACGAGCGAGATGTTGTCGCCCTTCCTCAGAATTTGCTGCCCCAGTTTTTTTGGGGCTTCTTGACTCTGCCAAACAGACTGTATTGTTTTTTGGAGAGCATCTAGCAGACCCTGATCAGGGTGTGTCTCCCCAGATGTGCCGTGAAGACCCCTGTAGTTTGGGGTTATACGCATAGGTATCCTTTTTAGACTACATTAAATACAAATAAATGGCACTGGTTTAAATGTGTTTTATTTCATTTACCAGGGCCCTTCTATTTGACCAAAAGGACACCTATGGTTATACGGTTATCAACCCTCTGTACGAGAAGTTGAAGCCTACGAGAATCATGACCATGACAATCAGGACCATGGCACGCAAACGAAACCTGGATGTCTCCAAGAGACACAAGATCAAACAATTTCTGGGTGAATTATAACGACCTCACTCGAGGTGGTTTATGTGGGGAATAGCCCCCCAACCACCTTGTTTCACGTTGGTGAAATATTATAATTCACCCAAACACACTTTGCATAGTTAACCACTGGGTGCTGGACATCAATCATGGCCATGAGCCAAGAAGACAACGCCTTGGATTGCAGGATCTTCAAGCTTCTCATGCTTCGGCTGAGCAAAAGACCGGCAAGACGGACACTCCTAAGAGCAGTGTTTGCGCCATCTTGTGACCGGCATTTTAAGTCCAATGCGTAATCTGCGTGCCATCTGCAAAGGCTCACCACGACGCGTGAATCTTTGAATCATCTACCCAGCTGCCGGCTGACATTTACTTACGTGTGTGTTTTGCACTTGCAAGCTCGCTCAGTCCATCATCCTTCTACTGCGCAGTTGCGAAGGATTTGCTACAAACATGCAGTTGTCATGTCAGAATGGCAGCTTTGGGATTTTGATCGAAGACCGACTAAGTTCCAAAGCTGTCGATGCCAGACTTCGGGTGTTGTTCCAGTAACCTGTTTTTCCTGTCCCATGCATTGCTTGCAATACCTTGAGATAGCCAGCTGCAAACCTGAATCGTGCTGCAGGTTCTGTGCCATGTTAGGGTGGGTTTGGCATGCGATGTTTGATCGCAGTGGGTGGCACGTGTTGTCTGGTGACCGCAGAATGCGGGTTGCGCCTGTACGAGTTGCACAAGGTGACTCGAGCCGCCTCGAGCCGGCAAGACAATGAATTTCCAGGGCGACCAAATCGAACCACCAAGGTCGCTTTGACTCACTTCGGGTTGGTACTCATAACATTTGACCCTTCCTCCCACTAACATAGAATCTATGGGGAGGTACCTGGGAAAATCATTCCTCGTGTAGGGAGTTCCTGTCAGGTGCCACGGCGGGAGGGAGGCTAAGATTCCTTGGTGGTTGGGACATGTTGAAACAGACGCGTTCAGCTTCTCGGAGATCCCGCGAGTCCGAGTCCGCCAAGCGGACCGGAGTCCAGATTTGGACGCGCATCGACGCGCATCGATCGGAAAATGGCGAAGGAACTGGCCAGGCGAACTATGTTTCCAACATCAAAGCCCAGGGAGACTGGCCAAGGTGATGTTGACCCACTGTTGGGGTCTCCAAAACTTCATGTTTTCCAGTTTTACGATCAAGGTATGAAACAGAAGCTGAACATATTATATTGGATTCTGAGACGGGTTCTTTTTGGTGGGCCCCAAAATAGTTACACAGGCATCCAAATGGGATCAAACCCAGCAGATTGGACCCGAGGGCGCTTTGGGCCTCCTTTCATATAGTATTCCTTTCTAGTGGTTCTCACCAAACTCCGTCACGAAATCGGGGGTACTCAACCAAGGTCCAATGTCATTGGAGGACACCATGAATGACTGTGGCTCATGTCACCGTGCTGTTGTGAACGACCTAAAGTCCGGATCTCTTGCGGCTTGGGATGGCTGATTCAATTTGGCAGTGTCCTATAGGAGCTTTTCCCTTCACGGATTTGTTTCTGCCCTGGTTTTTGTTTCATTCTTATCGTGGTTCCCCCCTCACACACGTGGTTTCCTAGCAGTTTCTTCCCCCGGCTGTGGTTTCCCAGAAAAAAACAAAAACACATCCAAAAAGCTGATCCCCCCGATCCCACGTGGGCTGGCAAAGCATCGCATCTGAGGCTTCCTTGGAGTGTGGCGCGGAGAGCCGGGAGCCGTGGGAGCCGTGGCACGTCGCAGGGCGATGCCTTTTGGCGGACGTGATCCGATCCAATCCGCGAAATTGCCTCTGAGAATGCAAAACAGGAACCTGGTTGGGCTGAAGATGTTTTTTCTCTTTTTTTTGCACTGCAACATGCGAGCTTCGCCGCTTTTTTGCGTTAGACCGGTAGACCGGTCTCAGTGGAAAGCACCGAGGCTCCATTCGACACCTGAGGTCGCTTGAGCATCGTAGAGTCCACGGACTTCCGTGAGATCGTCTACATTGCTTGGCGCCGAGCGGAACGCGCTTCGATTCATGCAAGACATTGACAGGCTGTATACGTGACATGAGTTAGAGGCAACGGAGTTACTCAGATTTCACCAATATTTGCTGGGACGTTTTCAAGTCGCCGGTGATCAGTTGGAAAGGTATCTTGACGAGTTTGCGAACCAAGTCTCAGCTATTGTGTTTCAACTGACTGGAAGTGATGTGGCACGCCCAAAGTCTGAGACAGCCGTGCACGAGGCTACCGAATTGCCCTTTTTTTTCGACTCGAGATGTTGCTCCTAATTTCGAGATTTGTTGGTGTTGTTGCAAGACATTGATGCGAACTGGCAATATTGCATGCAATTCACTCTGCCTCCGACAATGGTTCGAACGGCTTGGCCATACATTTGTTTTAGCATCACTATCTCTGTCGATAAGTAACTATATATATATATATGCTGCGCTTTTTGCCCTGGTGCCTAGGTTTTGCTTGATTTCAGCGCGCAGGCTGTAGAGTATAGTTTCGGACAAACTCCAACTAATCCTGAACAAAAGAAGTTAGGAGTTTATTCCCAACCATAATCTAAGTGTTAGATATAATCTAATACGCACACAATTCAATTAGCTGTTCATAATAACCATTCAATAGAGACTACTTCTCAAATGTAGTTCATATTAAATACGGCTAAACATTTAAGGGACTTCTACAAGGAAATTCGAAATATGACTTGTGTTATTTATATCCTGGCCCTTTTGCAGCATAAGAAAGATCCGAAATTAAACTTGTTAGACGGTGTTCCAAAAGGAAATTTCAAATAAAGAGAGGTTCAAATTCTAAAATTATTCCGAGACAGGGATTCTAGCTGCATCAGTTGTATTTAAAGTTCTATTTGCACAGGGAAACAAAAATCATTCTATCTCAAAAGGCGGAGGTAGTAGATGAGCACATGTGGAGAGGTAGTTCAAGAGGGGGGTGACGGTGTGTGAACATACACATGTAATTATATATATATATATGTATATATCTATACATACATACATAGTACCCCTAATGATCCTGCGCCTCTTCATGACATACTGTAAAATACAGTGCTTTTGAGCAGTACACCTACCTTTGTTTACCTTCTGGAAACGGGTCAACATGCTTTATAGCTAACATGAAGCAAACCGCTCACCAAAAGCACTTGAAAGTTTGCCTAACTAATAACTTGAAAGTGTTTCCACTGGATCGCTCAGCACTTGAACGTATTTTACCACTGGATGGAAAAAGTCGAGATTGAAGATTACACAGAACGCTCTCCTGAGAATTGTCAATCCTGGCCAAACCCGAACAACATTCAAGTTCTTCTCACACTTGAAAGTGCTTTACCACTGGATTGAGGATTCAATATCGCGGATTGCAACAACAACAACTTTCCTCAGAATCATCCATCCTGGTCAAACCCTAAAAAATATCAAGTTGTTCTAAACCTTCGAACGTATTTTACCACTGGATTGAAGATTCGAGATTGTTTTTTTTCACGGAAAGCTTTTCCGAGAACCGTATTGAACACAGATAGATTTGGGACAAACCTGCATTAAAAAAAGAGCAAATCTGGGATTCAAGATTCAATATTCCCAGAAAAAAATATTATTTTGAAATCTTGAATCTTGAATTCCAGTTTTTTACAATTTAAAAAGTATGAAAGTGAAGATTCAAGACTCAAGATTCCCAGAAAATATTATTTTGAAATATTGAATCTTGAATCTTGAATCCCAGTTTCTTTTCCCACCCGACAGGAAGGGATTGTTAGATTTTATGTTGGAATCCGCATTTGCGATGCTTCTACACCACGCCCCCACCCAGAATCCCGCCAGAGCAGCTCGCCAGTGGATCCCGTCGAGTATCCCGCCAGAGCTGCTCGCCAGTGGATCCCACCGAGTATCCCGCCAGAGCGGCTCGCCAGTGGATCCTGCCGAGTATCCCGCCAGAGCGGCTCGCCAGTGGATCCTGCCCCGAGTATCCGGCCAGTATCGAGCCGGAGCGGCTCGCCAGTGTTCGCCAGTGGATCCCGCCAGTATCCCGCCAGTCTGGTTTTGCTCAATGTCCAAAAGGGCCGATGGGAATTTGGGGTCGAAGTCTCCAGGATGCGGAGGAGTTTGTTGTAACGGTCGTAAGCTCGTGAGTGTGGAGGGTGGGGATTACTCGAAGCGAAGTATGTTTTTATGGGATGCAAGATTCAGAACTCCAGAAACGATTGTTTTGAAACATTGAATCTTGAATTCCAGATTGTCACGTGGAACGTCTCCCAGCAATCTTGGGTCCAGAATTCATAATTGTAGAATTGTGGCACACACCCCTTCCTTCTTCTTTGGTGCCCAAGTTTTGCAAAAAACAAAATTACCTGAAAAATGACTAGCAAAACCTAGGCACCAGGGGGGGGGGGGGGGGGGCGTACCATATATATATATATATACACACGTATATATATATATATATGCACATATATTTGTGTATATCTTAGATATCACATCGTTGTTCCCTCCTTAAGAATCGCCTGGATTCCCAAAAATACCGCAAGTGCAGAATCACCTCTTTGGGGGGGGGGGGGGGCCGCTCGGCTGCGCGATGTTTCTCAAGGACCTGCGGCTTCGCCAGGGCTCTGATGAGGCGAATCCCTCGCATCGCGGGCCGCGAGTGGCGATCTGTGAGTCCGACTCATGGAAATGCCCATGTGGGTCGGGTCATGATGTATGGAGACCTCCAAAATAAAATGGTTGGGCTTTACTTTGGTGTTTTGTGGCGACGCAGGTGGTAAAGAGACATCTCGCCAAGAAGTCGGGGCGCCGAGCAGTTTCGTCACAGCCCGATGCATCATGTGTCTCAAAATGGGAGTGCCCCAACAAAGGTCATCCCAAACAGCGGCGCTTTTCCCTGTGGTGCCCAGAAAAGGGTACCCTCGTTAAAAAAAAAGAGAAGAAAGATGCCCAAAAATCGGGGAACCCTGAAATGTCTTGGTTTTTTTCCTTGGTTTCCATTTCAACAAATGAATGTTGCCCTTCTTCCCATGCCCACTGTTCAAGCTATGGGAGCCTTGCACGGGTGATTGCTGTTAGATCAGTTTTTTTTTTTAGTCATATGTTTTGCAGACACTGGCCTGCAACAATTCTGAATTCTTGAGGCCATGTGGCTGACCCGCTTGGGAAGATGGCTTCACGGGACTTCTTCAGCTTTGTTCCCCGAGAAAGTCTTATTGATCGCTGGCTGATTGCTCCAAAATTTGTTGGCCCCAACGGAAGACACAAGGGATGACATCAAGACATCAAGGCTTCAAGAGGCAAGTGGATGACCTAGAAATGCGGTGTAAATCCACAGCTTGGCAGAATGACG